CAATTTACCGTCCCCGGAGGGTAGAAGGCTTGGTTGGCCTGGGCGGGTGTCGACCCGGGATTCGAACCCGGCGCCGCGCGAGTGGTAAGCGCGCCACTTGTCACTACACCACCTCCGCCTCCGCTATAAGTAACACTTTATTGAATTCTGATCGATTTCTACCACCATATTAAAGAGCATATTAAATACTATCATGATACTCCGCCACAGCCTTCTGGACGAGCGCCATCGAGAGATTCTGTGATTCGGTGCCTGAGTTCAGCGAGATCGTTGATTTCTCCGCCACTGTAGACCACCCTGTTGAGCTCCGCCCGAACCGGGTAATTGAGGGGTTTAGGTCAGGTGACACACTTCATATTCCATCTTCTTCAGGTACTCAACGCCCTTCCATTCCAAGTAGGCGAGAGTTTTTCCAACGCCCTTCCATGTGGTGGCACCCAAACCTGTAGCAGTACAAAGTTTCCAAGAAGGTACGGGCGACGACATGTAGGGAGGATATTCTTCTCGAGTTGCTTGATGTAACCGCCAGCGCTCACCTTCAGTCCGGGGTCCACGAAGAAAATATCAACCCGCGCCTTGGCGACTGCGGTGAAGATGATGTCCTAGACCGTAGCGACGTTGTCGGAGCTGCTCGATGTTGGAGGTCATCCAGATCGAGAGTACTGGTCTCCAGGTAGCTATCCATGGGTGACTCCACACTAGAAGTTTCGCAGCTGTTTGGAGGTGACATGAATTCCAAAGGTCTTCTCCAGTCAGGCTGCGACTGGAGATGACTTCATATTTTGGTGTACATGAAGGTGATGGGCGAGAGCCAGCTCCTGCTTATCGAGGAACATCTTGGGTATCTTCCGCCCTGGTACTCGTATCCACGTCCTCTGTCTGGGCTGCGAAAACTTTGCTGATATGTGACTCGGTCGAAGTGTCTTTTTTTGCCCCCCCCCCTGTACATCCACACCCAGTTCTCGTTAAGAGAGATTATGTGGCATTCCTTTTATGAGTATTTTTT